TTTGATTTTGTTTAGATTATTCAGTTTGCTATGGTTAATTTTGAAAGAAAAATGGTATGATAAGTTGTTACTTGCAGTTAGTAGGATATGAATTTTAATTCATATTCAAATAACATTTAAAATAAAACAAATAAAGTTGATTTGATGTAAAAGTATGAGAAAGATGGTCTGAAGTGGTGGTTAGTTAAAATTATGTGAGTTGGTGAATACTGAATTAAAGTTGATGAAATATACAAGAATGATTTATTAGTAATATTGATGATAGTAGGGTTGATTTAAAATTGAGTTAGATTTGAATAAAAAAAAAATGATTGGCAAACAATGATTAGATTTTTTTTATTTTTTTTTGGAAACATTTGTATCAAAGCATGCACTGAACTATTATAAGAAAAACTGTAGTTAATGATTAAGGTTGGTGTGATATATACAATTATAGATAATAAAATATTGAACGATAATGATTAATAGCTAGTTATGACTCATAAGTATGCATGTAATAGGGTGTATATTATTTCTTGATGAAGAATATTTATGTGAAAATGCATATGCTTTTTATTTTTTACTTGTGCTTTGGATATTTGAGAAAAAATAAATAAATCTTGACGATTTGTACGGTTTATATGAACGAAGGTCTGTGTGACGTGAAAGACGCATGTTGCGGGTCGGGCTCTTTCCGAGGTATTCACAATTGTGGTGGACAAAGGAAACCTTTGAGTACTGAGTACAAATTGTGTTTGAAACCCGAAAATTACCTGTTTTGGGACTCTTATCATTACACTGAAAAGGCGAACGAACAAGTGGCTAAGGGAATGTGGGATGGTATACTTTCGAACATCTTAGAGTGTGATGACTCAAACTTAATTATATAAGTCTCTTGTGCATTCTGTTTAATAAATTTTTGGGCAAGAGGTAACCGAGCTACCCGACTCGGGTCGTTCTCTAAGGAAGGTGCTTCGGAGCTTTATCTACTACTCGATTGTCCAAATCACAAAAAGAGAAAATAAATCCTAAACATTCTAATCAATTAGTTTGAGGTGATTTTAAGCTAGTTACGACTAAAGAAAGCGAGTAACGAGCAAGTAGGCTAGTAATCGAACTTAGAAACCCTAGCTTCTAAATTGGTGAACTAAAACTCAAGCAGCAAAAGCGAAAATAAGAGAAACAAACTCCATCTATCGCGCTTAAGAGCTAAAGCTGAAATCCTATTACGAAAAATAATCGAGCTACATATCAAGGTCACGATTTTTCTAATAGCAATTCACACTTCAACTAATCCCAAACACAATAGACGAGCTCACAAAAGATAAGAAAGCTAAAATGAACTAATCAAACAATTAAATCCCTAAAACGAGCAAGCCCTAATTACTTCTACTAACGAGATAGTAAAATGGTGCAAAAATCAAGATTCTAAGCCTTAAGATTAAGTATTTATACCTCTAATGCGTGCTTGGTCGAAATCGGAATGAAAAGATACGAACTTGAATAAAAAAAAAAGCCACCAGAAAAATATCATAAACTCCATACAAACCATGAAATAGAGAGAAAAATAAAACTTAAGCTAAAGTCTCCAAAGGGAAGAGTAATAGCTCTCTCAAAATACAAAAGACCAAATATATAAATAGTTACCTCCAAAACACACACTAAAAAAATGCACAATTAGTAAACTAAACGCGCAACGTTGCCAAATAAGGTTCGGCCCGCGAATTGTGGACTTGCCATGGGCATAGGCACGCGCAACGTTGTGAAAATACATTTGGACCGCTAATCATGGACTTGGCCCTGGCAAATGCACTCGCAACGTGCGAAAACTCACTGGGGCGCGAATCTTCATATTCCTTGGAGCTTTTTGCAAGGTCGTGGATTGACGTCCGGGTCGCGAACATGCTAGTGCTGAAAATGCCACTCGATAAAGACAATACTCTCAACCGATCTTCTTCCACTAAACCTACAAAACACCGGAAAAGTAAAGAAAAGCAACGAAAAGAAAAAAACGACACTAAACGTACAAAATGATAAAAACGAACGGAATGGACCGACACGACACAAATAAGAGCCAAAAACGACTCGACTCACCATAAAAATCAAATAAAAATAAACACAAAAACACAACAAACAATCTATCACATCCCTAACAAACATTATATTTACTTTTATATTTTAAAATTAATCACATCAATAAATAATAGTAATATACATTAAATATTTCTCATTATATAAAATAGAATATTACTTTTATAAATGTTATAAATAATACTGACATTATACGACAACAAATTTTTGAATAAAATAAGATTTGAGTATTATAATGAACCAAAATATGTAAAATTATTATTTTTTGTATTAAAAAATAAATATATATTTTAAAATGTAATTTATATTCATATAAACGGATCAACGGGTGTTTGTAGTATTTTTGGGCATGTGGTAACCGAGCTACCCGACTCGGGTCGTTCTCAAAGGAAGGCTATTCGGAGCTTCGTTCACTACCTAGTCGTCAAAATCACACAACCGAAAAGGTCCTAAACATGCTAATCGCTTGAATTGAGGGTTAATTTAAGCTAAATTAATCTACGAAATTGAAATCGAAAGCAAGTAAAGCGCGCAAGAAGATTAGAGAGATCAAGGGGGAAAGAGCGACTTTGGTTCACCGGAGTCATCATGATCAAAAGCACGCAAAAATCCAACCATTGCCATGTTCGCTAAAAACCCTAGGAAGTCAAATCAAACTCGAGCATGAATCGAGCAAGAATTCAACTCCTATCACACTTAGTCAAACATTCATGATCCAAAGCAACAATCTTTTCTTCCAAAATTACAAGCACAATATCAATTTACCAAAGCAAGAAAGATATACGAGGTAATGGGGCTTAAGACTAAGTTACCCACTCCAACATGCACTCGGGAGAAGAAACGAAATCAAAAGCTTGAAACTTTGCTCAAAACAATGTCGCCGGAAGTTCGCCGGAAAACTTGATTCATGAAGCTCTAAACCAAAATAAAAAAATAGAAAAAGGAAATAGAGAGGATTTTCCCAACTTGAAAGTTGGGAAATGAGAGTTGTGTTCAAAAAATACAAAGCAAGTTGTCTTTATATAGTTACACCACAAAACACACACTAAAACATGCACATTTAGTAGATAACTCTCGACCACGCTACAATTTCCGCGAGCACGCGAGCAGGGATGTGCACGGGTGCACTGGGTGCGCCACACTCTCGACCTCGCGCTCATTTTCGCGAGCATGCGGGCAGGCGGACGCACGGGCACGCACGGCAGATGGCGACACTCTCGTGGTCGCGCGCGGATTCGCGAGCTCGCGGCGTGTACGGGCTGCTAGGGGAACTCTCGACCTCGCGCTCGATTCCGCGACCGCGCGAGCGTGCACTGCACTGGGGACGTGCGGAGCTCTCGAGCTCGCGCCCGTTTCCGTGAGCGCGCGAGTATGCATTGCGCTGGGGACACGCGGGGCTCTCGAGCTCGCGCTCATATCCGCGAGGGCGCGAGTGGGGTAGGCGGCATGCGGCAGCGTGCGTGCGTGCGGGCGCGGGGCTCGGTTCGTGATTGATTCTTCATTTCGCTCTATCTTCTCGCACCGAACTCCGATTCGCCCGCAACTTGGACCAAAATTCTTGTCTTTGAATGCTCTTCCTCCGGGTATGGTTTGCTCGGGATATCCAGATCGGATGGCTCGGTCGGCTCAGATAGCTCGTCTCCATGAGCGCGATGAAATGGACCTATTCAACACCAAAACAAAAGAGAAAACGCGCAAAAATACGAAAACACTATACAATAACAAAAATACACAAAACATGATAAAATGGACCGGTCGAGCCTAAAAACAGACCTAAAAACCACAAAATAAAACACAAGAAAATAACGACAAAAACACAATAAACAACTCCCCCACACTTAGCTTTTTGCTTGTCCTCAAGCAAACAAAATAACAAATAGCTCGAAGAGATAAATCGAACGGTCCAAGATTAACGAACATGCAAAATGAAACTCTCATTATCATTCGGTTATCCCAAAATCAAAATTCAATCCGAGACACGGTTTCCACATAATGAATCAAACGAAACAAAAACTCGTCCCAAGTCATCCCACAAATGATTGCTCGAGTCAAACTCCCCCATTCACATATACGTGCAAAAACCATAAATGATCTACAAAACATGAAATAATAAGCACGAGATCAATAGGCCAACTCTCTGATCTTCTTCCTTTTTTTTAATGAGCCACTTTTTCCAAATGAGAGCCATTATGACGATTATTACCTAGGTTTAACCTCGGGGATTATTCTCGAGTTGCCTAGGCCGGTTTCCCGTGCTCGTTGACTCGATCTCTCTAGAAGATTAACCGAGCCAAGAGGAGCCTAATCTCTTCGACTCCCACGAACTCATTTCGTGAGCTTCTTTTTCCAAACGAGATTTCCGGACGAGATGATCTAGGTTTAACCTCGAGGGATCTCCTCGAGTTTCCTAAACCGGTTTCCCGGGCTCATTATTCCAATCCACGAATGGCTCGGAATAAGAGGAGCCTAATCCGTACTTCCTCGCGAACTCACTTGTTATTCTTTTTTTTCTTTTTTTTTTCTTCTTTTTTTTTTTTT